CCCGCCATTAATCTACTTCATCCCAGAGCCCCCCCCCCTCATCCCCACCTCTTCAATCCAACACGAGATCTACCACCTGTCATTAGCTTGTTGAGGTTCCCAACCATCTTCCTGTTATTCCCTTCATTCTGTTCTTTCTGCTCACCCTCCATGTGTATGAAGCAGTCATCAAAACGTCTGTTTGTGCGAGTTAAGGGTAACAAATCGAAACAAGTACAGTAAATAGAACAATGAGCAAATACAAAAACGGCGAAAAATTTAAACAGGTGGTTCAATTCATCACTTTTCCAACTTTCTCCTGAGACTCGACAACGGTTTGAGATTAGTGGACAAAATGAAAGGGTGACGTTGTGTTGTTTAAAATCGAAGGCAAATTATATAAGGAAGTATAGTACTGGTAACACTTATTGCTTATGTTCTTGTAATCCCATCGATCAATTGTTAGTGTTTTTCAGGATCTCCTTAACGGAAACTTGTTGCATACAAGTTTATTTCTACACATAAAAACTCCTAAACTCCTAAATAAATTCCTCATATCTCTGTGTTAACAGAGGCTTTAGTGGTAAATTGGAAATAGTAGTATTACTATGGATGTGAAAACCTGATTGTGTTGATGTTGAAATCACTAGCTTTGCTATATGATGATATCACTGATTTTATCACTCGTCATACCTCAATATCAGGTCGTCCGGAAAGCAATTTTGATTTTTTAGAATAATTTTTTAACGCTTGTTTTAGGAGTCTCGCAGAAATTTNAAAAAAAACCCCCCCCCCCCCCCCCCACGGGCGTTGAGTGACGCTGACAGCATGTTCGTCAACTTCTAAAGAGTCCAAGTTTTTGAGCCGTATGTCAAAGACAATAGTGTCGAAAAGATAAGGGAGCCGGATGTACTGTCCTCACTACTCCCTCGATACTCCTAAATATTTCAGAGGTAGCATCGGCAATTCTCACGCGCCGGTTGCTGAAAGGGTTGCCAAAGTGAATAATCCATCTCGAACATCCTTGAACTGATTCATCGTCCAATAAGTGGATCGTATGGAGAGAGAGCCTTCACACACATCCATCCCATCATCTTGCAGCTGAGCTGTCCAGCGAACGACCTGTGAACTTTGGATACACATGACGGGTTGAATATATAATATGAACTAGCACAATAGCATTGCACCAGTTACAGTCAAACTTCAGGCACAAACTACCAAGACTGCAGGCTCACAACTCCTCATTTGATCTAATAGTTTCTCACACAGATGCCCTAACGTAGATAAACTGCAATCTACCGTGCCTTCAGCATGAGTAAAGTTCTTTTACTTGAAGAGATGATTATTGTATGAAGTGAGAGGCTGATTAAGCCAACAAGATGATGCAGCAACGCATAAGTCCGCCTCTTCCAGTTGTAAGGCCAACAAAAAANAGGGAAGCGAATTCTGCAGTGGTGGAATAGTATTGTATGAAACCACTTATGATTAGGACCACAGACGAGTGTCTCAATGTGGATATGGAAGGCAACACTTAATGTGAACAAGAAAATTGATAGGAAACGCAAAATGTAAAGGCCTTGATCAGAAGAACTTCAGGCAAAAATTGTGTATCCGTCACCGGCATACTATCCCAATGTTGTACGGTTTCCACTCCATTGAGGTTTCGCTCCTGGTTTTTTTTTTCGTTGATCAACGTTGGATGTGACTCTCACTAGTAAATATGATATTGCGGCATTGGACGAAGTCGTCACGGACAGCACCGTCATCACCATCCTGGTCCTGACAATCAATTCAGTCACCTTCTCGGAAACATCCACACTCCACATTCGGTGACAGAACTGCGGAGCGTATACCCTTTCAATGCTTCATAAGACAACGAATTGCTTTATCAATGAGTTGATGGTGATTCGTTCTATCAGTTTATCAGTATTTAGCAGTTTCATTTATCAGAATCAGTTTTCACCCGTTCTATTTATGATTGTGACTAAATCTTCAACAGTTCAAGAAGTATTCAATGATCAGTTACGTACTGCGTTTCACCATCGTAATGCAGCACTCATGATGAGAACCTGATACGGCTTTTGCTTGGAAGAGGTAAGTACATAAAATAAGGAACTCGACTCATTTACAAAGGAGAAAACTACAATTTAGATCGTCCTTCTTTCATCATTGGTCCAAGATACTTCTCAAACGTTGGCAGCACCTGTAAGTCAACTGAGAATTGCTCATGAAAAACTCACATGAATCAGGGTCTCACCTCAGTCTTGTTCAGCTGACTCTTCTGAGCCCATTCCAGAAGCGCAGGATAGACATTACCATCGCGACGTCCGAGTACCTGGAAATATGAACAGCGAGAGAGAGGTGCCCAGATGAAGTAGCGGCTAGTATATGTGCTGTGAACAGATCTGACATACCGAATGGAGCTCCGCATCGTCAAAGTCCCAGCTGTCCACTAAGGAAACGGCATTTGGCCGAAGTCTTTCTAGACATCTATAAATACCATCTCGAATTCCATCAGCCTGACTGTCAGACATGAAACCACCCTATAAGACCAATTCATAAATTCAGTAAAGGGATGACCGACAGTAGAGTATTTGCTGCCGTAGGCAATAAGAACGATACGCCTTGGAAATAAGATTAGCCTCCAGGTCTCTTTGTTCACACGTTAGGTGACTAATACATTTGGATTTCAATAAATCTCTTCATACGCATTTCTGAGGTAATGCTTTAGATTCAGACCGGATTGACTTGCCGCAAGTGATACTTTTGCGATCTGATTATGCGACCAGAGTTGGGTGAGAACAAGGCTAATTCATTCAGAGTGGATATCAACCATACAAATCAGAAACAAAGGCCGTTTTGCTTTTTTTCAATTTTATAACTGACTTGAGACTGCTTTACTTCAAGTTGCAATGATCTACTTGTCGAATCATCATTGATAATACCATGAATTTACTAACAGCTACACATTACTATAAGTACGTAACCAAATGAATCAGTTTTGGACAACTAAAACAGCATCCGCTATCATTTTTCCTGAGCAATAAACAGATAATTAAAGTGTGACAAACTCAAATTAGCGGAACTTGCTGAACAATAAGAAAAATCAAAATGACAACTAATTAAAATAAAGTGAAAGATGACTCATTTCCCCTTTCCCCTCCATTAGACGAACACCTTACTCTCAAGCTAATCAGTGATAGGTTGATGCATAATTATTGCGATTTTTTTCGCGGCTTCTTTTCTCTCGATACAACCTGAATATTGAATTCGGGATCCGATAGAAATAAACTCCCTGCTTTCTTCAGCAGGAATATGTCTAGGAAGTCATCTTCATATCCGCCATATATACTCCATACCTTCGAGAAAGGTTGGAAGGTGGCACAGCCATGAAGTGACCTCGACAACGGAACAGTCAACTTAAGCTGGATTAAATATGGAATCTGCTTCTACGGTCGCCCTATTCACCAACAGAAACCTATCAAGATTGTCCCGTCAATCGCCCGTTGAAAATATTGGCTAACGAACAGAACTTTCGACGAAATGGATGGCTTGCTGGCCGATGTCAAGGCGTGGTTCGCCTTCTAGAATCGAAACTTCTCCGCCTATGGAATCTGACTGCCTAGCAATGGGAAGCAATGCTTGACGTAGATGGTGAATATGTTCCAGGGTAATTGTTTGAAAATGTCTTTGCTAAATATTTCTTCGATTCTTCAAGTAAAATTTGCTGGAAAAAATCCACACTAACTATGCATCAACCTGATAGTTTGGAGTAAGTGGACAAAGAGAAAAGTACAGCCCATTGTTGAATAAAAATATAAAGGCACCAAAGTGAAAAACGACTTATGCCATTCATAGTGCTTGCTATCTTGAATCTTCATGATGCCTTCAACAAATTTGGTGATGCTTTTGGAATTATCTTTGATAATATACTTACAGCAAGTAGGTTTTTTCTACATGCAGGTGATTATATAATAATTGTAGATTCTTCTTCGTCACATCCATTTCTTGGGAGAATGCTTCTTTTCCGATATCTTTGTATCAAAGGTATCAAATATAGAATACCTTTTGGCAATTCGCCATGTTGCTGTGTATATAACAGCAGCTTTATTGGTATTTAAAATATTAGTGTCGATAATATTCTTAATACCAATNCCAATAAATGAGGAAATTTGATAACACTGAAGCTAAAATCATCAGTTTTATCATACAGTTTGGTACTGATCTTATCATTAGTTATATTAACATTCGAGTCCAAATTGCTGCTTATGCACAGTAATAGATCGTCCACATATTTATGTAGAAACATAGCTCATTTCTATTGAAGCTCTGTTTTTTGCATAACTATAATCTATTACGAACAAGTGAAATCGCCCACAAGAAGACTGAAATTGTTTCATTGGAGAGCTTCGTTTACCTGTTTAGGAATCCTATTCTTAAAGGTCAAATATTGTTAGATAATATGTAATCGGTGGAATAGGTAAAAATATTTGTCTCATCGCATCTATAGCTATTCCTGTAATTTCTAGGACAACCTCTACGTGCACCAATGGTCTTTGCGTATTGTGGCCAGTGATCTTCTACTGCTGCTACCAGTATTGAGGAACTTTCGAACACCGATATGATGACAGAACCACTCATAGCAACTAAGTTTGCGTTACTGATGGCCAACAGAAAGAAAAAACTCACCTTCAAGAATTCTCCTTGACTGGCGGTAATCAAGTCGAAAGCGTAAAGGCGTGTGAGGTCGGTAAGTGGAGATCGTAGAGAAGCATCTGCAGCCGTGGCAACTTTTTCTAGGAACGTGCGTACAAGATAAAGACGAAC